AATTTATTGATAGAACAATACAGAACCGCGTAACAGCATGACGCTACTGCTGTCTTTCCTGCTCCCTTCAAATCCCATACCCAAATAGTCCCAAATTAGCTGTTACCCTTTGGAAGCTGATAGTTTCAAACGTCCGTATGGTGCCGTTAACGTTGATCCATAATACGTGTCATCTATACATACTGAAGAAGCTTGCAGAATAATTACGACCATCCATGTCGGTCTGCGTCATGTGTTGAAGTTGCGAGGCCATACGAGCGCAGGCACACGTTCTGTGTAATAACACAGCAGACTGGCACTGCAATATAAATTGCTTCAACGCTAATCTGCAATTATCAACAATAACCTACACTGTAGGGCTGTTGTAAGCTATCCCCTTTCAACACCAGCCCCCTCTCCCGCTTTGAATAGCGTCGATAACAACGGAGTTGTTTCAAATTTTGCCTCCTGCTCAGCTCTACCTGAAGCGTACATTATTCGGCGTCAAAGCTTTCCTACACACCTCATACCGAAATACGAGGACAATAACTAGGGACTGAATGCATAATTATAGGTTTAAACGATGGGGGGGGGCACATTTTTCACCCGGAATTACAAGGAACGGCGAGCTTCCACTTTCGAGGGGCGGGAAGCGAAGCTGCCGCCCATTCACAGTCATCATCCCAGTCATTGTTTCTTATCGGGGGTCTTCCGCTTTTGTCCTGCAGGTGAACGAAAACGTGGCGTCAAGGGGAACCAGGAATATTCGGCCTCAGGCAGTCGTCTTTTTTGCTTTCCTTTTTTTTTTCCCGAGTACGCGTTCACCGTCTCGCTGTTGCCCTTAAGAAACAAGGAGCGAAGCACTTCCTGTTCAGCTGTTTTTGCCACCAAGAAACATGGTTGAGGGAGTACTTCTGGTTGCTTACAGGGTTTGATAAATGATCCCCGAAGTTAATTGGTAAGTATTTTCACGCAGCATTTTTGTACTTTCTCTTCTTCGTCACAGTCCGAGACCGTCAGTTTCCTTGGCGAGGTCTCGGAAGAATCCGGGCCGTTTTCTCATACTGTATTTTGTCCAGCTTCCTTTCTGCTGTTCCGTCCCTCTTTGGTGGTCTTTTCGAGCAAACTTCCTGTCATTTCTTCCGTCTTATTTTTCTTTCTGTCTTTGGCGAAGGCGTGACAATCTCCCCCCGTAGAAAGTCCGTTAAGGTTTTTCGTTGTAGGTAGATTCTTCTTCTTCTTTGGCCTTTTATTGCTGTTGCAGCCACTTCTGTAAAAAAAAAGATATTAAAAATGATATGAATGCTAAATCCTCAAAAGCGGCCTTAAATGATAATATGAAGATTTCTACAACGCTTAGGTGCCGGTTTTGGCAACTGTCGAGAGAAAAAGGTGTGAAACTATTAAAATCAATAGCAAATGGAGTACCTAAAGTGCATTTTGCTGGGATTAAGGCATTTCTGTCATTTTCTGAACTGCCTGGCCCTTTCGGTGTTTGGAGCTTAATGGGAAAGAGAAGCTTCTAAGGATCTTATTTATCTGAGGATGCCCTCCTAACTACTGTAGCTGGTTGAGCGGATACTAAGGCAGCCCAGGCAGTGCTGAACCCGAACTCCTCCCAGCTGAGAGATTTTGGAAGTAAATGAGATCTATATTGACCCTGGCTTAATTTTGTGCTGTGAGTCATGGCTGAGAAGGGTTTAGATTTGTTGTAACTGAGCTCCTCCCCTTCTTACCCCTGTTTGGCTCTTTGCCAGCTGATCTCATCTAGCCCAGCAGTTATGCTGGCAGAACCAGTCACGTCTGCAGATCTGAGATGGGCCAGCACAAAGAAGTTAGCTGCTTCAGCACAAGAGGACCCTGTCCATTCCAAACCCACTGTACCTGGTATATCTTTGGATTGTTCTGTTTTCCTTTAAATACCTGCTTGTTTGTTCAAAATATTTTTACTCTATTTTTCTCCTTTAAAAGGACCCAAGGCAGCTTACATCATTAAAAGACAGTATTTAAAGCTAGTTATAGTGAATATACAAAAGCTAAAGAGATTCAAGCGAATACTCAAATACCATTCTAAAAACAGTAAATAAAAGCAACACCAAAACACATTAAAAGCAGTGAGGTGCAACAATCCGTTTAAAAAACCCACTCAGGCAGCCAGGCACTCAAGGAAAGAATGTCCATGCTTTTTCTTTCAATTTCCACGATTGTTTCTTATAGTACTTGATTTTCTAGTTTGTTTTATTTCTTCTTTAGATGCCATCCTAGGAGTTTATTTGCTTTAATTTTTATTTTATTGTACAGTATCCTGCAATTTCAGTCTGAAACAGGATGTCTAAAGCTGTATTTTTAAAAACTTTTTTGGGAAGACATAATGAAGGCACAGTCACAATCATGATATTAAAACTGTCTGAAACACACACATCACAATCTCAGGAAAAACAAGAATCAACATCGATCAGATTTTAGGGGGAAGTAATTTTATAATGTGCTTAAATATTTTTGGTGACTGATCTCACACTGTGACAGTTTCAAAGCTTGGATTTCAGAAAGAACTGTATTGTTATTATTTTGCGCAGTAAGGTTGCTCCTGATTTTTGGTGACCTTAGTAGATTTTTTGGAAGTGTTATGGGATGTTCAAGGAGTCATTTAGCTTACCACATGCACGTTCTCTCTCACTCACTCACTCTCTGGCTTTCCTGAGCTTGGTATCTGAGTGGGGTTTAACTCTGGCTACTCTAACACTGGCACTATATGGAGCTGTGACTGTATTGATAGATGGCTGCCACCCACTCTACCCAGAGGTCTCTGGGCAGCTTACAATAATTAAAATTCAATACAATAAAATGATTAAAATACAATTAAAATACAATTAAAATTGTCATCATCAGGACCCACAGTTGTTATTTCAATTAAAAGCCTTCTGGAACATCACAATCTCATGAAAAACAAGAATCAACATTAATCAGATTTTAGGGGGAAGTAATTTTATAATGTGCTGAAATATTTTTGGTGACTGATCTCACACTGTGACAGTTTCAAAGCTTGGATATCAGAAAGAACTATATTGTTATTATTTTGCGCAGTAAGGTTGCTCCTGATTTTTGGTGACCTTAGTAGATTTTTTGGAAGTGTTATGGGATGTTCAAGGAGTCATTTAGCTTACCACATGCACGTTCTCTCTCACTCACTCACTCTCTGGCTTTCCTGAGCTTGGTATCTGAGTGGGGTTTAACTCTGGCTACTCTAACACTGGCACTATATGGAGCTGTGACTGTATTGATAGATGGCTCAGGTTATATGTATTATGTTCCCTGCACAAATGTCTGTTCCCACAAAATGATAGCCGAAATACAGTATAGAAAGAAGGTGTGTGGGGGACTGTATTAGAAGTGACCCTTAATGTGATGTGATGCAGTCTACTATAGTATCAATGGCAACAAAGAGATGTGAAGCAATTTCAAAAGGATCTGCCAGAAAGCCTAATTTTTAGTTTTTCCAACACTGTATTTTCAGTGCTAAGATTTAAGCAAATAATTATTACTCTGAATTAGTTTCCAAACGGTTTCAGCAGTAAAATAGTATTTCTTGGTTGTACAGATGACGAACCTAAGGTTCTCCTTGTTCTTTCTTCTCAGGATGGATGCCAGAGATAAACAGGTTCTGCGCTCGTTGCGCTTGGAGCTGTGTTCAGAACTGTTGGTAGAGGGCCTTGTCATTCAGTATCTTTACCAAGAAGGCATTTTAACTGAAAATGATATGCAAGAAATAAGGTCCCAAGTCACCAACCACAGGAAGACCATGACGCTTCTCGACATCCTACCTGCAAGAGGGCCCAAGGCTTTTGAGACCTTTCTAGAATCTTTGCAAGAGTTCCCATGGGTGAGAGACAAACTTGAGGCAAAACGTAATGAAGCTGTGCTAATGGTATCTGAAGGTAAAAACAATCAAGCATTCATGATTTGTGAATGTCATTTTTTTCTGTTGATTGAAAAGTTTGCATTTGCACAGTTAGGGCCAAATTACATGCTTTTAATTGCACAGTAAACAGTCATGCCTAGGCTTTAGAAAAGAACAGCTACTGAAAAGACCCTCTCTTGCATCTTTGTCAAAAGAGCCTATGAGGATGGTAGAACTGAAAAAAAAAAGACCTCCTGATAGGTTTTAAAAGCCAAGGAGGGACATATGATCTGCTTGTGATCTACTGTGGATGTTATAGAGTTGACGGGCAGAGTATAGATTATACTATAAAAATAGGTTCTAGAGGAAGACCGCATATGAGATGGACTGAGTCCCTAAAGGATGCCACAGACTTGAGTTTACAACAGCTGAGCAGGGCAGTTGAGGACAGGACATTTTGGTGATTCCTCGTTCACAGGGTAACCATAAGTCAGAGGTGACATGATGGCACGGAACAACATAAGCAGAACTTTGTAGTTCACTCTTTAAAATGTTCAGATGAATGAATCAGTGGATTTCTGAACCACATCTTCTCTTCTGTCTGTTTCCTCCTTTGTTTCTATCCCAGCCTATGTTCAGCTGAGAAGCCTTAAAGTTCGAGGTTAACACCAAAGCTAGTAATAATGGGAGTAAGATGGGGGCCTGGATGGACCAGCATCCTGCCCATTTTTTGTCTCTTTTGCATAATGAGGTAGAAAACATTGGGCAATGGAACACAACTGGGCATGATTTAGAATAAGTTCTGTTCTCTCCTCTCCTCTTCCTCCTCCTTAATTATTACTAAGCACACTCACCAACTATCACAGCTTGAAATGTTAACCAGCTTTCTTAGAACCTCTCTATAACATTCATAATGTCATTGTAAAATACTTTGAAACTTGGCTTATTTGAGCCTTCAAGGATCTGAAACTTCAAATTAATTGATCCGTTTTCTGAATATAATGTCAGGTTGGCAGTCTCCCCTCACTTTAAGAAAAGAATAGAAATTCTGAACCGTATCAGTTCCATTCTGTCTATTTATCATGCAACACTGTCTCATCAATACTGTGCAGCCAGATATTCAGAACTGGAAGCTAAGTAGCACTCTGCTGCTTGTTTTATTTGTGAAAAATATATAAGATACAATGGTGGATTCACAACTGAATCTGTGACCTTCATGAGGTCATTGAAGAACTCTTTGCTGGGCTAGTTATTATTCTTTGGATATTACATGTGAATTCTTCTGAGGAAGGGCAGGTCTGTTTGATCGAACAGGATGATAGAGTTGGGATCCAGTGGTATTGATCCACTGACACTATTGCTTCAGTGAGAAGGACCAGGAGGAGGGTTATTCCCTCTCCCCTCTTTAAGCTCTGCATATGTACTCAAAGATTTTAGGTTGTAAGGAAAGTTATGTGGGAGGGGAGGGAAAGAAACCACAGTACCACTAGTAAATGTCTACTAGTGCAATGTTGAATTTAAGCCAACATCAGTCATTTTCTGTAAGAGAAGTAATAACCTTTACTAACAAGTGTTGAGATAGGTGCCATGAATAAAGAGAAGTGAGGCGTCCAAAGGAAGTGTGCTTTTGTTGTTGTTTTTAAAAAAGAACTTATCTTAACATATCAAGAATGTAGATGCAGTTGTAAAACATCAGCTGGATAAGGGCAGACATTTCAGTTACGGCTTTGTAACCAAGATAGCACATATGGCTGTCTTAAAGTGTGGACCCAAAAGATTATGAGGTCATAAAATTATTTAAGCTTTACTACTGCTTCCTTGAGTCAGATGTCTGGTTTCCCTACTCCATTGCACATTTATTGTGCAGATGTCTAGAAAGTCCCTTCATGAGCCTACTGGCTACAATGAACAGAAGAAATACTAGGCAAATACTAGGCACTCAGCATACCTAGTATTGTTCACTTCTTTTTACAGTAATGTCCATGAAGGAGGGAGTCCTGCAAAATGCCTATAGTCTGGAAATGTGAAAACATAACCATTGGCATGCAAAACTAGCCATGAACAGTGTGTTTAATTGAACACACACACACAATGGATAACACTTCTCTCGTTCTTTGGCTTGATAAAAGAAGTTCTTTTACTGCACCAGCTAGTAAAGAAGTAACACAATACAGACGTAATTTTGATCCATTTTAGTTGGGCTACAACTTACATAAGATACAAAGTGACGAAAATCTTTTACTGCACCAGCTAGTAAAGAAGTACAGTAATACAATACAGACGTAATTTTGCTCCATTTTAGTTGGGCTACAAGTTACATAAGATACAAAGTGACAAAACAAGAGTTTTTATATTCTTTCTATAACCCATGACCATTTGAAGTGGCACAACAGCATTTAAACCAGTTTGGTCCTGTTATAATTATCTGAATTTAGGAGAATATGAGATTAAGTTTGTTTTTTTAAAGAACATAGGTTTAGGCAGATGTCAGTGAGACTGGTCAGTTCGCAGGCTGTTTGTAGGGTCAGAATTTAGAAGATACTTTAGACTTTTTAGAAATGATATCTATAATTATTTGCACCAGAAGTAAAAAAAGCAGAAAATGTATTAAGTTACTCAGATCTTGACTTTTTTATTCATAATGACCCAACACATACATCAGAATTTAGATCACAACAAATCCATAAATGAGAGAAGATCCCTGAGCCATTTCAGTCCTCTCGGAGGCATTGGGCAGACGCATTTATCTTCCGACTATAAAAAGCATTTTCATGCCAAATTCTAACCACCCACACAGTACGATTAGTTCCTGAGAGGAGATTTGCTTTCATTGTGGACAATTCTGACAAAGGCATAATAGTCTAAAAGCCTCTGTATAATATTTATGATTCTTAAGAAAAGCTATGGGTTTTGGCAGGAAAGTACAGTTCTTTCTAGGAACAGCAAGCTATTAGAGTCATGATGTGTGTAAAGTGGAAAATGTGTGCTATGAGAGACAACTGGGGTTTTTTTGTGTGTGGAATGTTTTCCTATTCTGTGTCTCTCCAGAATTTTTTTTCTTTCTTTCTCCCTCTTTTCTGCCCCTAAAATGTGAACAAGGACCTAATGCTAAGAAATTTCAGATAGGTTAGTAAACCTCTGTGAACTGCTCTGTCATTCTGATGGAACTTGGATGGTGAACATTCTTCTACTTAAAAAAAGAAAATATAATAATCCATGCATGTGAAAAGTAGATACTAGGGAAAAAGTCCAAACCTGTCAGGGTTTTTTAGAGGGTGATTTCTAATTATTATTATTAATTTTTTTGGTGCAAGTGGTTCTTCAGCTACACTTGGCTGAAAACACACAGTTGATGTTTGTTGGTTTCAGATGAAGAAAACGAATTAGCCCCAAAGCAACCATTACAAAAAAACTGAGTTGCTTCCCCTGCCCCAGCTTCTTATTTTACTGACAACTGGAAAGCTTTCACAGTCAACTAGAATGGCTTAGGTCTACCTGCCATGCTGTTGTGGCATACAGAATAATGTTTCTCATATATTTTCAAGTCCATTGAGATGCATGAAGCACTTTTGTATTTCCATTAGAGTTGCAGTGAGCTCTTGTGCCATCTGTGAATACTTGTTGTTCAACTAAAAAGTAGTAATAGTAGTAGTAACCTTATTACGGTCAAGGACCAGTAAGACCAGAACAATATAAAGTAAATACATACAATTGTAATTTCGTAAAATTAAGCAGAATTATAAATTTTCCATTAAAAACATGATAAAACAGCCCCTTCTTTCAAATTAATAACACCACATATATTTAAAATAAGTAAAACCTTGGCCAGTGTTATATTATAAAAGCATTATAATTTGTCCATCTAAAATCGCAACCCGAACATCTGGTCGCAAATAACTATTGCTGCAGCACAGAATTTGTCTGCTTGTCTTGTGATATAAGGGGTATTGTCAGAGAGTAGCAACTGTATATAATACACTTCTGATCTCCCAGGAGATTTACGGATAATAAGAAGTAAAAGCTCCATATGCGAATCCCGATAGCAAGTACAATATAAGAGAACATGCCACACTGTTTCGACTTTGTCACTATTAGAAGAGCAGAGACAAACTGATGGAGCCAAAGCTTGAAATCTTTTGGTCCAGAAGCTTAGAAGGTAATACATTAAGTCTAGCTAGCATAAAAGCCCTTGTGGCTTTAGATGAGATAGTACTGGCTAAATACAAGGATGTGATAAAAGCAGATTTCTTAAGAAAGTTAGATTTCCTCAGCTGGCCAACATGGTCCTGTAATCCTGTATCCCAGACCCTTAACTTCACCACCTTGATGGCATTCGTGAGACCCATTGCTATAAGTGTAGTGGGAGAAAAGCCAGTTTTCAATATCTCTTCAGTTACATGCTTCTTCCATTCAAAGTGAAAAGTATCTAGTAGCATCAGTGGGGCCAAGCCTTCCAATTAAAAAATAAGTTTAAGCCGGTGCTTTACCATAAGGACTTTGGACCATGCAACTAAAAAGTATACCTTGTTATGTAATACAAGTACCAGAATTTCCATTAAGGGAGTGAAACTGAACCTTCTCAGTAAAAGGGACAATATGTTTCAAATAGGCAAACTGTTTATTATATTACAGTATATTATATTATATTATATATTATATTATTGCATACTCACTAGTTCTACTTTCCACCCCACACTTTTGGCCTAACTTTTAACTTCCCCAAGCCAGCTAACTACTTATACCAAATTATATCACCAAGATATTGCTTTGTAGGCAAGAATCCTGTAGAAGAAATGGAGTAGCCCTCATAGTCAACAAAAGAATGGGAAAAGCTGTACTGAGATAAAATCTCAAAAATGATATAATGATTTCAATGCAAATCTAAGGCAGATTTTTCAACATCAAAATCATCCAAGTTTATGTACCTCTTCACTGATGCTGAAGAGGCTGAATTTGACCTATTCTATGAAGACTTACAACACCTTCTAGAACTGACACCAAAGAAAGATGTTCTTCTCCTCTTCTCCTTCTAGGGGA